TAAAATGTGAGAAAATTTTCTTAGATTTTTAATCCATTTGGACATAACTCCCAGATTATATTTGAGCACTCAGCTGGATTACTGCTTTTTACCTAACTGATAGGACATATCTTCAGTGTTTGAAGAAAGGGCCAATTTAAATATGTTTTCATGCTTGACTAGGTGGATGGGAGAGGTAGTTATGGATTTCTGTAGACAGGTGAAATCCTATACATTTGTGTGCATAGGTGTTGACAGAGCCTTTAAACCATTCAACAAAAAGTTGAAAGCTATTTCAGACACATGCATTTCTTCTTCCACATAGAGTCACGCAGGCAGACTGACCGAGGACCTACCTCCAAAATCCAATATAATCCCTTCGCTCTCCACCCAGTTTCTCCTACAAACTGACAAAATTCGTTCAACTAAGCAAAAAAAATGAGCCTCTTGAACACTGAGGTCAGCAGGATGTGGAAAATCTGATTCTCTCTTGGTGGTGGTAGAGAATGTCCCATTGCCCGTGAACAGAGAAGGCTGCCTTCTTGTTCACAGTTTCTGCGGCTGCCCCAGGCTCATCCATGCCTGCTCCCTGCAGCTACAGAGCTAAGAAATAGGCGGATTAGGAAACCAAGACTGGACTGCATCCCGCCACCTCCACTCTTGCTTCTAGCCACTTAGATTCAGTCCCCCATCTCTACTCCTGCTCTGAGCCCTTGGCCAAGTGAACTGGACTTTGCAACTGAGCTGGACGGACTCTCTAAGTTGACTGTCTCTGGCTCTGTTAAACTGTAGACATGCTTCGTGTGTTACCTTAGAACTAGAAGCACACTGCACCCAGAAAAGTCTTCCTGAAAAATGTAGCAGCAAACTTCTCTTTCGCTATTTCTCTTTTTGCCGTTTCTCAAAGAGTACGATCAAACTGAGGTAAGCTCCTGTCTTTGATGCCCGAAAAGTTACAGCTTCATGATTTATGAGCATTCCACCTAAAGGAAGAATCAATAGAGAGAAGGGAGAAGCCTTGGGGAGAACAATCCAATAAGTAAATTCAGGTCTAAAGCACAATACTACTTTTCAGGGGTTCTATATTACCACTTTATACATAGTGGGCACTCAATATATGTTTGTTATTTGAATTGGATGAGGACATTTTTTCTTCTTTGGTAATCTCTACTCTGAGAAACATTTTGCCTGCTATATCGATCAAGTAACTAATAATAGTTGGTGGCAGCTGCTCAACTCAAATAAATAATTATTTTTAAATAGACTTCGATTTTGTAGTGACCTGCTGTGTTCCCCATCATGCCCCACAGTGCTTGCTGACCATTACTCCTGAGACCACATATGCATTGCCCACCCGGAGCAGTAGTTCTCTTATTCTAGATTCATTTACAACCTCATTTTAAAGTCCAGATTCTGCCCTGGCTGGTGTGGCTCAGTGGGTTGAGCGCCAGCCTGTGAACCAAAGGGTTGCTGGTTCAATTCCCAGCCAGGGCACATGTCTGGGTTTGGGGTCATGTCCCCAGTAGGGGCCACATGAGAAGCAACCACACATTGATATTTGTCTCCCTTTCTCCCTCCCTTCCCCTCTCTCTAAAAATAAATAAATAAAATCTTAAAATAAATAAAATCCAGATTCCTATGCTCCCTAACCACAGTGTCCTTTAAGTCTCAAAAGGGATCTAGTAACCTATATTTTAACACCCCCTGTGGGTTATCCAGGGAGCATATTTTAGAAACTGATCCATAGACTTGACCCTGCCCTCAGCGTGAGCCCCCTGAGAACAGAGAGAAGATGAAGGAGCAACAGTGCGTAAATTGCTCGCGCAGTGAGGACGCTCCTGCCCTGGGACGTGATCTTACGTGACTCGTCACTATTTTGCCTTTGTTTCCACTTCATGTCCCAAATCCAGCCTTGCATCTTGGTAGCTGAGGCCAGACTGCCCTTCCTGATCTCCACTGGCTGCTAAACAGAGAACTGTCCATTACTAAATCCCATACTTAATGCTCTGCCTGTCCGCCAGGTCCTCCAACCATGGCCAAGCTCCAAGAATGCCTTTTTGGATTCCTCCTCTGGCTACTGTTTAGAAATCTTCTTTTTTCCTACTGACCCATGTGGCTTTGCTGTACAGCTTCTCCCAGCACCAACACCTCACTTCTTGTGACAGTCAGCCCAGCCTGAGGATGCTGATGACCCTTATCCAGAATTAGTCATGGGTGATAGGATGGTCACTAGACTGGCTACCCTAAAAAGGCCATCTCCATCTTATTCATGGCAGAATGAGAGGTTGTGCGTGCTCGCTTATGCAACTTCAACGTCAGAGATTTTAGAAGAGAAACTGATAAAAATAAGAAACAACTGGAATTGACATTATTTTTGTTGCCTACCACATTTTGTCAAGAAGAGCCCAAAACAAATGAAGATTGAAATAAAAATGTTTTTAAGTGGTGTTCAGGCTGCTATATTGAGTTGGGAGTTAGAACACCCTTATCTCAGAAGATCCCTCTGTAAGCCCTCCTTTACCATGCTGGAATAGTGGAGACCAGTGATGAGAACGTCTTCCATTCAGGTCCCTTCCAAAAGGATTTCTGCAGCTAACGAGAACAGTCAGGTTGTCCTCCCCTCCTGCCTGCTCCCTGGGGTTCCACTGAGGAGACCTGAGCTCAAAACAGTGAGTTCAGTTGGCCACCGTCACCTTCAGTGAGCCAGCTAGATGAGCTGGATTACATCCCAAGGAGACAGAGAGGCCGTGGCCCAACCACAAATGTGTTCAGACAGCCCCTGCTAAAACACAACGGGCTAAAGTGAGGGTAGCTGACAAAACTGGTACCTTCCCAGCCCTGGCCAGTGTGGTTCAGCTGCTTGGAACCTCATTGCATAGACTGAAGGGTCGCAGGTTCGATTCCCAGTCAAGGCACATACCCAGTGTGTGCGGTTGTGGGTTCAATCCCCAGTTGGGGCACATATGAGAAGGCAACCAACTGGTGTTTCTCACTTTTCTCTCTCTCTCTCCCCCTTCCTCGCTCTAAAAGCAATGAAAAAGATGTCCTCAAGTGAGGGGAAGAAAAAAAAGCTGGAAACTGGTACCTTCCCAAATTACTTTACCTGTGAATACAAGAAAAAGCTTCAAATAAGAATAGTACAAATTCTAATGACTTCTTTCTTGATTTCTTCATTCAACAAATGTTTTTAGTATTTTTTATGTGCTAGGCATAAACAGCTCTGGCTTCTGCCCTAAAGAGGTTTACTGCCTTGTAGCTGACTGTAGAGCATGGATTTATTTGGGACACAGACCTACCCAGGACTTTTCTTGTCTCACCTGCCTGCTGGAGACGCAGAGAACCCTGTGGCTGTTGCAGGGACAGGTGGTAGTGACAAGTGCACAGGAAGCCAACCCCAACTCACATTCCAGTCACACTCCCTGGATAAACAAGGCTTGAAGTTCATGGTAAAGGTGCTAGTCAACAGGAGGAGAAAGGATGAAGATGCCCACAAATTAAATAGAAGCCTCCCCACGGGTACTCTAAAGCAAGCAAACTGGCCCTTAATAGTACAGATTTATGTTAGAGTTCCTCTCTGTTCCTCCTTCCTTGTTTCTACTGCGCATGTCGTTGAAGATTAATTGAAATACTGAACGCTATGAAGCATATTTATTTCCCAAAATTTACATAATATAACAAAATCTGTTCTACTCTTGAGATTTTTTTGGTTTCTTCATGACACAGAAAAATAACATGCTTGTACCTACAAAATACCAAACATATAAACTCTCAAACAAAAGAAATACCTGAGTACAGATCGCATATCCCTGGGTTTAAAATTTTTAATACCTGCTGTTTTCCTCACCACAAAACAATACATGTATCGCCCCCCCAAAATTTTTTAAATAAAAAATCAATAAATTCATAAAACAACTGAGCAAATGCAAAACCACCTACTTAAAGAGAGCCATCACCGTGCTGTGTAGTCTTACAAAAGCTCTCCTGTGTGTACACACGTACATGATGTTCATACGTATGAGAATATGTGTGTGAACCACTGGAACCATCTTACACAAACTGCGTTGCAACATCTTTTCATTTACTAGCATGTTATGAACACCTCTGTGTGTCAGTACAGTTCTGGAGCAGAACTTGGTTCATTCTCTGCACAGTTCTCAGGGGACGTTTTCAGCGAAGCCCTTGGCTGGGCACTTAGGTTGTTAGCTCTTTACTGTTAAAGCAGCTTCAGCATGAATATTCTGTTAAGTCTTATGTACATCTTTAATTGTTTTCTAAGGACAAATTCCCCAAAAGTTTGAATTCCCCCAAATTCCTCAAATTTTTTGAGTCAAAATTTATATACATTTTTAAAGCTTTGCATATATATTGTCAGAATATCCTTCAAAGAAGTATCGGATCCGTTTGCACACCCATCGGTGCCAGCTGGGCGTGTTCGCACACCTTCACATAACACTGAGCACGCATTTCTTGGACAATTCAATAGGGAGAAAGTGCTGTCTTGTTCATATTTTGAAATGTTTTCAGTTACCGGTGGGGTGGATAGTAACATCACATCAAAGATTTCATACTTTTTTCGTTTGTAGCTGGGTAAATCTGGGGCTTAAAAAAGTCATACTATTAACTCTGTTAAAAGCATCTCTTTCCTGTGAGAATTGACCTGTTTGGTATTTCATAGGGTACAGCAAGTCATTTTTCTGTGACATGGACAAACCAAAAAATCTTGAGATTGTAGAAAATAAATTTGCTACAAAATTCTGTGTTTTGAACTTGAAATATAATATGCAACCTCATTTCTCAGTATGTGAAGAACCTCTTATAATTACAATATAATTGATCTAATTTTACTTATAAAATAATCCATGGGGGGAGGAAAGTATCCACTGTCATTAAAAGAGGAAGCCGAGGGTACAAGGTACGTTTTAATATTTATTGAGTGACCACATGATGTGACCACATGATGTGAGTGCTGAAATGGACTTTCCTGGGGATACACTAAACTGAACGTTCTTGTTGATACACAGGGACTCTTAGGGGAAAAATACGGGAACATCCGAATCCCCGGAGAAGTGGAAGCCTCAGAGTTCGAGATGATTTTGGACGCTGCCGTCGAGGCCAAGCTGGAGACTCAGCTCCTGGAGGAGTGGTACTGTCGAGACGAGAACTCCGTGCCAGCAGCTTATTACCTCAGACCCAAATCAGAAATGCTGAAGAGCAATAAAAATGGAGTAAGTTTCCTTTCTTTGCCAAGTATGTATCTGTGTGTTCCTGTAACTGTTTATGTCATCCGGGAGTGGTAGGCTGGAAGTCCTTCTGCCTGGAGCCCTAAATGTCCTTTGAACAGCAAATTCCAAACTAAGGAACCTTCCAATTTGTGACTTACCTTTCTTTGAGCACCTCAGACTTTCCTTTAGGGGTCATTTCCTTCTTCCCAAAGTACATCTTTTGGAAGTTCCACTGATGAACTAGAGATAATCTCTTCTCAGTGTTCATTCTTAAAATATGCTTATTTTTCCCATTTTGCAAAATGTCTATTTACTTATTCTGATTAATATATGTCATGCTTCTTATGTTTGTAAATACATGTGTTCTGTCAGATGTGGAAAATTCTCACCATCATCTCATCAAATAATCTCTCCTCTATTTTCTCTGTCCTTCATTTTTGCTCTTTAGTTAGATGCACATCAGACCACCTCAGTCCACCTTTCCCATCACATAATCCTCTTTCACATTATCAATTTCCTTATCTCCCTGTCCTTCTTTCCAGAAGATTATTTTAGGTTTTTTCCAGTTCATGAATTTTTTTCTTCAGCTGTGCTCACTCTGTCCATACATTGAGTTTTCAAGTTCAAGAGCTATACTTTTAATTTGTGAAAGGTATTTTTTGTTTGTATGTTTGTTTGTGGGGTTGTCTTTTTAAACCTACCTACCTTTTTATAGTTTCATATTTTTTAATTCAGTATTTTTCCTTTAGCATTTCATACATACATAATCCTATGTAGAATCTGGGAGTGAAACTGATTCATGCATGAGTATGATGGAAAACATCGTTGCCCCTCTCCGACTTGGTTCCTAAATGGATCTACTGTGTGTCCCCTGAAACTGAATGAAAGAGGAAGAGAGAAATGGGTGGGCCTATTCATTGCACAGATAATTTAGAGATTGAAAAGGAACCACAGAGTCCTTCCCTCTTCAACTAGAACAAGCCTTGGTCCATTTAGCACCAGGCAGCTCTCAGAGGAGAGCCCTGGGCGCTCTAAGGACCTTGTATATTTGTCGTTCTGATAGCTAACATAAAGCATTTTCTCCATGCAGTAGGAAACCATTTTAGAATCCTTGGCTTTTCTTCTTTGCCCTCTTATGCATTTTTTCAAAGTAATTATCTGCAAGAATATTGCTCCTACAGAGAGGAATATTGGAGTACACCCAAACCATTCCCCAGTTAAATGTGCCAAGAGTAAATGTAGTAGCTAGTAATTGTAGCTATCAAAACACACAAATGGCCCTCGCTGGTGTGGCTTGATGAATTGAGTGCTGGCCTGCAAACCAAAGGGTCAGCGGTTCGATTCCCAGTCAGGGTACATGCCTGGGTTGTGGGCCAGGTTCCCATTGGGGGGCACGTGAGAGACAACCACACATAGATGTTTCTCTCCCTCTTTCTCCCTCCCTCTAAAAAATAAATTCATAAAATCTTTTAAAAAACCACACACACACACAATCCCTCAAGAAACCAGGTTTACACAGTGGTTTGGGAGCACTCGCTTATATGTTACTATTTCATTGGCTTTACTTCTTCCTTCTTCATTTGATTCTATGGTACTCTAGGGAAATTTAACTTATTCTCTAAACCCCACATGATACTTCTGCATACACACTTGTTCAATAAAAGAATGTATATTGTATGTGTGTGTCAAACTAATATTACAATTTTCGGCTGTGTTAATTTTGAATTGTATGACTGGGAAAATGTCTGATTCTCCCTGTTCATTTAATTTTCCACAGAAACAGTATTAATTCATCCCCTTAAAATGTTTGCCTGAAGTGATCACATATGTTGGATAGCATGCCTTTTAAAATATCTAACGTGTCATGTCATCCATCCAAACTTTAGGTTTACTCCATTTCATAATTATTGCCCATTGATTATGGACATAACACATTTCTGAGCACTTTGGAGGAGCGGGAAGGCAAGTTTGTTAACGGCTTTGGAGAAGATAAGGGGGATGCGGAGAGGCTGCTGTGTGCCTAGCGACCTCGCTGGGCCAGGGAGGGGTCTGCACGGATCCTCCAAAACTCGCCTAAGAGCAAATCGGGAGGCAGTGCGGTTGCAGGGGCCGCAAAGGAGCTTCGAAGGCGGGGTTGCCCTACGTGGTGGGGTGGAGCCCTGGACTTGGTACAGCAGACTCAGACTGAGAGCCCACTCTCTGCAGTTCCTGCAAAATCAGATGTTACTGAGCCTGTCCTGGAAATACCATAAAATGCCTGATCTTTACCTTCGCTTCCCATTTTGGGAACATATTGCAGGTTTTATGCAAATTGCATTAAAATGTGCTCTTTAGACAAAAAAAAAGAGTGTATGAGTAAGATTATCATCAAGACTCTACACATGTTACTTTCTTGGTAGGCAAGCCTCCTGGTTTCTTTCCTAGAAGATCGTAGAAACAAAGAAAGAAATAACAAAAGACAATTAAATAGTAACATATGAGCACTTCCACTTTAAAACTCTCTCTCCTCTCTAGAGAATATTAGAAAGATGATTTTGTTATGACATTTGTATCAGAAGTCAAAAGGAAAACACGTGGTATAAGAAAGCGCAGCAAAGAAATCCTGTTTGGATTCACACCGCTGTGTGACTTGGACAAATTCACGTATAACATGGAAATAATCTCTAACTTTCAGGGTTGATGGGAGTATTAAGTGAGAAACAGTCAGTTAACCACCTGTCATAGTGTTGGCACATAGTAAACCTTCAAACGATAATAGTTCTTTTGCGCTTAAATATCAGCTTTTCTTTGATGACTTAAAGGCAAATGTCTCACTTGCACATTTCCACAGATGCAGCCATCTGCCAACGCTGAGAATGGGAAGACCTGGCAAGAGATATCAGACGAGATCAAAAAGATATTTAAGGCTGCGGTGAAACTGTTACATGAAAAGGGGAAAATGAAGCACGGCCAAGCTAAGAGGTACCTGTTCTCAGGTAATTTTTGTACATTCTCGGTACACGAACGGATGGATAACTAATGGATGCATTCACTGGTTCCCTTGGATGGCTCTGCAGATTAAGTTTTATTTACTGCCTGGTGAAACGGAATTTTTCTAAACACTTCCATCTCCTGCAGAGACCAGCGTTCTTTTGTTTTAACTCATAGAAAAGGCTTTACTTGCCATGAGGAGTGCTCCAGGAAATGTGGTTTTTGAAAGCAGTCAGAGGAGGCTGGATATCACAGACCAGACTCTGCCGGTGTTTCCCGGTCAAACTGGTCATTCCTTCACACACTCGCCCACTCAGCGAACACTTGTTGAGCTCATAGTATGTGCCAGGCACCGAGGATACAACAAAATGAATAGGAAGGCAAAGTCCTGCTCTCCCGGGACCTGTTCTTCAGTGGAGGAAAGTGAAGGATGGGCAGATGACCGAATAGAGGAACAAGACCATTGCAGAAGGGATCAGTGCCACGTGCACAGCGAAACAGTGGTGGGGTAACAGGAGCTGGTGGAGGGCACACCGTCCAGGCTGAGAGAGAGTGGGCAGTGAGGAGGTGTCCTCTGAGCTGAATGACAGAAGGCGTCAGAGCCAGCAGTGCAGCATTTATTTTAAAAGTGGATAGTACATTATCGAAGAAAAAGTAACAGTACTTGCGTTTTCAGATTGGTCTTGTGAATGGCGTGGCGAAGCGTTGGTGAAAACCTAAAGGGTACTCGGTACCATTCTCCCTGGATGCGTGTATTCCAACTCAGAGAGATTACAAATAATTCTGACAAATTCGTTCTTTGGAAGCTGTCAGAAATAGGGTCTTATTTTCAGTCATCCTGAAAGTACTAACATTGGCAGGAATAAGTACTCTCTTTAGAGTAACAAATTAACAAACATCCTTGTTCCTTTGGGGTCTTTTTTGATCCATCTCGTTGTGAGGCTCTGGTCCTTCATCTTCATCAAAGGCGACATCCCCCTGTTTTAAAAACATGCTCTGTTAAAAAAAAATAAATAATGCACAGAGCAAAAGCTTTCCTGTTCTCCATAAAAGACACCAGTTTGAGGAAAGCGTCCGCTCATTTAGAATCATACAGCTCAAGTGTTCAAACACTTTGTCCTAATTTCCCCACACTAAAGCACCCCGTTCACATGCATACATGTGAAGATAAATAATTTCATACTATGTAGCGTGAACCACTGCAAGTGGTGTGTTTCCGGCTTGGGGTTACAGATCTTAAAGACATACATGGTTAGAACAGTTTATTTTACATTTCAAACTCATTTAAGACCCTGTCTGCACAATAAAAACTGCTGGAGAGGTGCCCTCTCTTTGAAATGGGTGCACAGCTGACCTTGAACCATGTGTGGGGTTGGGGCACCAACTGCCCCATGCAGTCAAAAATCAAGTATGCCTTGATGCCCCCAAAACTCAAATACCATCGAGTATTTTGTATGTTATACATATTATATGTTGTCATCTTACAAAAAAGTAAGTTAGGGAAAAGAAAATGTTAATGAGATCATGCGCAAACTCATGTACAGTACTGTACATATTTATTGAAAAAAATCCTCACGTGAGTGGACCTGCGCAGTCCAGACCCACATTGTACAAGACTCAGCTGTAGTATATTTTATATTTCCAGAAACCTTGAAAATATGAATACTAGATAGAATCTGGAAAGTCGTACTAGTTTTATTTAAATGTAAGTTTCACAACACTTCCAGTTTTACCTTTTTAAACCACAAGAGAGAAAGAGAAATCAATTAGACCTCAAAACGGTTCCCTCCAGTGCACATCAGAACTGAGCGGTTTCAGGGGTAGCAGAGGGGCTGATGGCTCGTGAGTGACGGTTGCCCAGGCGGGGCACCTCCACCGAACTCCATCTTTTTCGGGTGCTGTGACCAGGTCAACTTGGGGATAGTAACAAAAATGCAAAAAGAGAAAACAAAAACTGTATAGTATTCTAGTAAGCAGGGGGGAAGTTTATAGTAGTTATATAGTCAAGTAAATAACAGAAATTATTCATACAATAAAATCATGAGGATGCACTTTGCTTCCAAAAATAACTTTATAGGATTGACTTAATCTGTGATGACGGGTTTATTCAGGTATTAAGCTCATACTATCAAGCAGGCATGCTTCTGTACAGCCTCTTTTTTTCTTATTTTATTTTCCAATTGCAGCTTACATTCAATATTGCCTCATACTAGTTTCAGGTGTACAGCACAGCAGTTAGACAATCATATACTCCACAAAGTGATTCCCCAATGTCATATCTACTGTAGAATCGTTACATGAAGTAGGTTCCCTGTAAGCCTTGTTTCCTCTCTTTTTCTTAATTGTTGGCACAATTACAGATGCCCCCCATTTTCCCCACACTGTTGATCCCCTCCCTCCGGCCCCCCCCCAGCCTTCACCACATTGTTGTCTGTGTCCCTGGGCTATGCACATATGCCTCTGAGCCACGTTTATGTGGGCCTGTGAACTTGCTTTGTCTGTATCTCTTTATATGTTACATTTATTGTCACCACTCCTGGCTGACACACTTTTCCACAGAGGAGATACTCACCATATCATTTAGGTAGAGTGGACTTACATCCTAGGAATCAGAGGTGACAGTGCATATCTCTGATCATCATTATTGTTGTCTGGCCACTTTCTCTCTCTCCAGGATGCTTAGAATGTAGCACCAGCTAGTCCAGCGTGCCCCCTACCAGTTTACGCAGACGCCTGCAGAAGTTGTCAGCCAGAGTCTGCTGGCTGCAGGAGCTCATGAAGCGAAGATTTCTTGCACCTTTCCTAATCTACTTTGTAAGAAGTTACCACTCTTCTGTAAAAAGACTGGACCTTCGTTGTCCAGCCTCCTTTAACTGGCCTGATAAAACCCTTTGTAAAACATACCGATGCAAAGGACACACAACTCACTCAACCCTGGTGGTGACAGATGTCCCTTTTTCACTCAAGTCACAAACTTTGATCAGTTATTACCATCACTGAAGAAATGTTATCATGGGAGTCCCACTAAAAGACATATAATTTTAAAATACAATTCCCACCTTCCTTAATAGTTACTTTATAAAATACATGTGTGTTTTAGGTTTTGCTAAACCTTGGGTGGAGCTGTGGCCAGCACATGGAAATGCTTTCAGCTGATGGCCAGCCCTGTGCGTTCAGAGCATCACCCCTCACCCCTTGCTTCCATCAGATGCCAGCTCAGTAGGCACCTCCGTTAGAGATCCTTCCCTGGCCTCCGCCAGGGGATCAGGCCCCACCCCCTGCATTGTCCACACACAGACACACACACACACTCCCTCACAATTGTTTGCCATCAGTGCACCATGTTATTCTCCTGCCTGGAACAGAAAACAACCATAAGACGTTTATCTGTGGGACTCTGGGGTTCATGTCTGCTGTCCTCCACTGGGTGGGAAGCTCCACAAAGGTTTTCTCTTGGCATTGTCTGTTTTCTCACACCACTGCATCCTGAGCAGCCAGCCCCCTGCCTGACACATAGTAGGTGCTCAATAAGACTAACTGGATAAAGGAAGGCAAAAGGGAAGGGAGAGAAGAACGAAGACAGGGTGGGCAGGCAGCCAGCTTTAAAAGCCTTCTTGCCTCAAAATTCACTTCTGTTGGTTTGATTCTTTCATTCATGTTTATTTTTCTTCCCTAAAATCATGCACAAGTGTTTTTGTTATGACAGAGACAATCTTAAGTGTTCCTATGAGGCCTTGAGTGATTTATAAAACATAAGTGTATTTACTTGTATATAAACATATATATTATAAGCATTACCTTAAAAGAAATAAAGTTACATACTGAGTCATTTTCCTGTACCTGTTCTGGTGGATATAATGGGATGTAACAGTGACATGGATAGTTCGTATCGATCAATGATCAGAACATGATTATATTTTGAACATGATTTTGTATTTATATTTACGTGTTACGTGTCTGGGGTGCGATGCACTTCACACAGAACGGTGACACTGCGTGTAAAAGGGAGACTAAACAGCAGCAGCAAACGAGGTTTCCCCTCTGGCCCCTTCCTCATTCCCTCCCGGCCTCAGCTGGTCCCTGCTCTTCATTCTCCGAGTCTCCAGATTCCTCTGGAGTCTGAGAGGAAAGCTGAGGAGTCACTGAAATAAAAATTTGGTTTGCTTTCTCATGCCTATGTTCAGCCTCTCCCTCCCACTGGTGGGAATTAAAGGATTTTATTTAAAACCCATTGTTCTGGGTTCTAGGCCATCTCAGAAAACACAAATAGGAAATTAAGGAATTAAGGAGTTAATCTGTAGACATGTCTGTTCCACACTGTCAGCAAAATAACCCACCACTAGGACTAGGGAGGTAAGAGCTGGGAGTGTGAGGTGTTGCTTCTTTGCTTCAGGCGTTCAACTTGTCGCACTTTCTTTCAGCCATAGAGGACGAGTTCGACTTCGCTCTCGGAAAGCAAACACCAGCGTTCCTGAAGAAGTGCGTCTGCTACATCAGGAAAATTGCCAACATTGAGCGTTTTGTCAAAATCCCAGAGATGGGAAAATACATGGACATAACTGGAACAGAACCAAGGATTATTCGGGACCCAGAAGCCCAAGAGAAGCTGATAAAACTCAGGGATGAATTTATTCCAACTATTGTCGCGTCATCTAATCTCCGGGTGTACACATCGGTCACTCACTGTGACATGAAGCTTGGCTATTCCCAGGAAATAGAAAATCACTACATCGAAGGACTGGGCAAACAGTTTTATGAGGATATGATTGATATAATTCAGGCAACGGTACAGCAGAACTTTGACACTGAAACTGATACGCTCTACGACGAAATCCTCCAGCATTCGTCATTGTGTAAAACATACGCCTCTTTCTACGAGTACAAGTGTGAATCTCTAAACATAGTTCATAAATACATCCTCCCAAGCAAAACCGGGCACATCCACCCGCTTGTTGTGTACGGTGGGCCATGCACGGGGAAGACGCTTCTGCTAGCCGAAGTAGCAAAGAAGGTAGAGCCTGTTCTTTTATGTGTCTATTTATAAAAAACTTTTACTTCTGGGAAAAGATAAAATGATCACATTCATTTCATTTTCTGTGTTTAGTCTCTGAATTATAATTAGGTTTTTGGATAGACACTTCAGTGTTTTTGTTTTGCTGATGTAACTAGTACGCTGGAAATTGAGACTCCTGGGGCGCAATTATAGGACAGCTTTACGTCCTCTCCCGCTGTTCAAAGCGGTGTTGTGGGGCCAGCTTCCCTCCGAATGGAAGCTAGTGTGGATCTCACCACTCCTCTCCTCCCTCAGCAAAGACAAGCCCTGCCGCTGCTCCTGGACATGACGTCAGTCTCAGTTCAGCAGTTCGTAGTTCCAGTCTAAGAGGATCATTAAAATTTCAGTCTACATTTCTCTCCTCCAGCTGAGGCTTACCATAAACAAGGGATCTACAGCGGTAGATAGGGACGTAACCATCTTCTCCTCTCCTCCTCCTCCATCCCTAATCCCAAATCCCCACCGCACTGATGCACCCACAGGGTTGCAGTGTAGGGGATGGAGGAAAGGTGAGGTGGCCGGGAAGTCCTCCCGTGACCAGCACAGCTCTGGACTGGGCTCCGCACTCTCTGGTCTTGGCAGGTGTCTAAAGCTGCTTCCTGCCTCTTCCAGGGCCTCCTCGTGGTTTCCTGGAGGCTCTTCCCCTCCCACGCCCACTGTCCTTGCTCAGCATCTCTCATCTAGAGCTCCCTAGACGCAGAGGGTTGCCTCTTTTTCTAGCCTGTCACTTCCCTGGCTGTAAATATTCAGGACCATGCTTCTAGTATCTTTCTACCAAGATCCTCTCCACAGCCCAACAAACTCCCTTAGGCAGCACCTGGGAAAAACAGGATGAGCAAAAACCATGCCGGCTCACCCTTTACAGTGGCTCACAGCTGGTACATGGGACACACACTCAGGTAGTTTTTTTCCCAGAGAAATTCCAGCTCGAATACTGCAGCTCTTCACACTCAACCCTCCCAGCAGCCTCCGTCACTCAGCCTCCCTGGTTCCCAGGTGTCATCAGACACAGAGCGCCGCAACCCTGTACGTGGTCCGATTCCCTAGGCTGGAAGTGAGGGGTTGTGCATCTCTCAGGCTTCCCCTGTGGGACCAGGGTGGCCATAGATACAACCCGCAGCACCCTAACCTCCAACTTTTCTCTTGGCCTCTCAAATCCCTTTTTCGGGCTGGAGGTGGGTAGTCTACTAAAGGGAGCAGACTGCTTCTCACAACTCCCTTTCAAGTCCTGCAGGAGGGTCTGGAACCTCCCCCTGGGGTGTGGTACCTGTGGTCGTGGCCCCTCTGTCTAAACTGGCCTAAACTAGTTCCGTTTTGTAAATATGGTTAACTTCTCTTACACTAGGTATCAGAGTTTGAGGGTTTCTGTTATCCTGGTGTTACTTCAGAATCTGTGTGTTGCTGTTCCTGCAGTTTATCTCTTTACGACCAGAGCTTTCTTCCACTTCATGAACATTATCACGACCTGCCATGCTGCACAGCCTCAAGGAGGTCATCTTAAGGACAAGAATAGGGACGGTTGTGCGGTGCGGTGCCCCTGCGGGGATTAGGTTCCAAAGTAAGCTCACAGGTGAAAATCAGGTATATCAAGTTTACTCTTAAAAAGTCCTTAAGAAGACCATTTTGCCACTTCTTTTTTATTATTAAATTTATTTATTTATTTTTAGAGAGAGGGGAAGGGACAGAGAGAGAGGGAGAGAAGCATCAGTGTGTGGTTGCCTCTCTCGTCCCCCACCACTGGGGACCTGGCCTGCAACCCAGGCATGTGCCCTGACTGGGAATTGAACCACAACCCTCTGGTTCAAAGGCCTGCGCTCAATCCACTGAACTACACCAGCCAGGGTTCACCGTTTTTTTAATATACCAAATCCAGCTTCTGGTATCCCTTCTCGTGTTAGTAGATGCAGCTTGGACACCAGAAGAAGTGGCTGGCTCATGTTGCATCAAAATGAATGTGTGCACATGTGTGTACATGCATGTGCATGGGTGTCTGAACACTGATTTGTATGTGAATCTTCAAGCTGTAGAATAATCTAGGTAAGCAAGATAGTAACATTCTGAGGGGGCACATGGGAACTGAAATCAAATGGGAAAACATTCACGGGTGCCATTTCCCACTCGTTCTAGGGCTTTTCCCCTTGTGGAGGGGGAAGGGGAAAGGTGGTTGGAGGGGCAGACATTGTTGAATTTGGCTAACTTCAATGTGCGTGTGACGCAACTCCACACGCTCCAGCACAGGATGGTCACGTGGGATGTGCTGATAGGCCTGTCTACACACGCAGTCCAGGCGGGGCAATGTGGTGACAGTGAAGTTGGTCAACTTGAAAGTGGCTCTCCAGATCCACCCACACTGTCACAAAGGGTAACATTTTTTTTTCTTTTTATGACTGAGTGGTATTCCATTGTGTGAATGTCCCGTGGGTGTTTTATCCACTCATCTGCCGGTAGACGCTTGGGCGGCTTCCATATCTTGGTGATTGTAAATCATGCTGCAGTGAACACAGGGGTGCCTATGTTCTTTTGAATTAGTGTTTTGGGTTCCTTCAGATACATTCCCAGAAGTGGGATCACTGGGCATTATGCTGAGTGAAGTGAGCCAGTCAGAGAAAGACAAACACCACATGATTTCACTCATATGTGGAATCTAATGAACAAACTGAACTAACGAGGAAAATGGGGACAGACTCATAGATGGAGAGCAGGCTGACAGCTAGTGAGGGGACTAGGGGGTGGAGGGACTGAACAAAAAGGAAAAAGGACTCATGGACATGGACGACAGTGTGGTGATTGCTGGTGGGGAGGAGGATATAAGGGCACTAAAAGGTTGATGCAACATGGCCCCTAATGTAAAAAAAGTAAAGATTAAATTAAAAAACAAAAAAGAAAATGGCTTCCTGAGCTCTCACTGCTGGGGATGTTCTGTCCACTGCCAGAGTGCATCTGTTCAGGGACCAGGACCCTGGTCCCCCGAGGAGCCTCACCTGCGTCTTCGTCCCCTGCCTGTGTTTCTCTTGCCTTTCTCTTGTCCCTGGGGCACATGGACCCACCCACCCACGAACAACAACAACAGTGTCCTCTCTTGTGGCTTTGTGTCCCTGTGAAGATGCAAAGAGGCATCTCATGTTAATTTCACGGTTATCTCCTGCGTACCCAACATTTCCATGGATGTGAGCTTACGGGCAGAAGGGCCCTCTCTGCAGCCACCACACAGTCAACGACATGTGATTAGGAGGAGGGAAGACGATGCATATAAGCATCATAAGCAACCCACAGTGACCACGAATGGTGTTGTTTCTGATTTGCCACCAAGGGCAGCTGCAGGATGGCAGAATTATCTTCCTCCTCATCAGCATCAAAGGCGGGGCTTAAACAATGACATAAATGCTTATTTCCCCTAATAGCTCATTCTGAAGCTGGCAGCCATATGTTGTCTCTGAACTATTCATACCTGAACCCGAACTCTCTCTTCAGGAACCAAGTTTCATAAACTTCCTAACATTTTAAATAATATTTTATTTTCTAAGGAGTATCCTTGGTGAATTCCAGTGATTACTGAGAGACATTATCTTCCTAAAAATACACGTTTGAGTGTTTTATACTTTGATCACGTCCCTCCTTATTCCAAACAGAAAAATACTCAGCTCGCAACCCCCTCATATATTCTGTCTCTTTCATTCTACAATCGAGAGAGAGTGTGCACATTCTAGAGTCAAAGTCAAATTCACTTCTCCAACTTTGGCTGTCAGTAACCATTTAACTTTAAGCAAGTCATGTATCCAACCTGGTCTTCACTTTCAACTCCTGTTAAATGTTACTATGGTATCCACATGCCTTGAAGAGAGATAATGTGAGAACATTAACTTCATGTTTATATGGTAAACCATTATAAAGCCCAAGTGCAGCAAAACTCTTTTAACCAGCACTGTATAGTTTTTTATGACAGTGATAATAGTCATGATGACGACCCTAGAGCATCATAGTATAGTGAAATTTCTCTGAATGGTAACAGATTATATTCAGTCTCATTTTAGTACTTTTTTACTTCAGTCTAATTAACTGGAAATTTGTTCAGCCATATATGGTATTATTGATCCAACAATGAAAATATATAATGTGTAAATTATTATTTAATCTATTCATTAAACAAATACTAAGTACCTACTATGTGCCGACAACCATGCCAGGAAATGGGATTCAGCATTAAAAAAACTGACCATACTAGATATTCAGATTTACTGTTTATGAAACACTTTGTAAATTTTCTAATACAAGTGAAATGCTGCCCTATGGTTGAATAGTACTCCTATCACTATTTTATTACCTTCAGTAGAGTAATCTGGAGGGTCTCGCCTAGATTATAGTGCACGAGCTTTGTGACAGCTCTTTCACCTTTCAGGGTTTCGCGTCTCCCAGCTCTAGACTACTCTCCGCATGGCCCGGTACACCCGAAGTCTGGCCTCTGGGGAGAGGAGATGTTGTAGTACGTGACCATGTGACTACGTATTGCCATTCTAAATGCCCCTCTTATGTTTTAGGCTTACGGCTGGCTACATGAAGACACAGGACCAGAATCTGACCCAGTAATCGTTGTGCGATTTCTAGGAAGCACAGACATCAGCACTGACCTCAGGACTGTCCTCCTAAGTGTTTGCGAACAACTGGCAGTGAACTACCGGTGTCTGGTCCAGAGCTACCCTAAGAAGATTCATGACCTCCGTGACTTGTTCATAAACCTTTTGAATGAGTCTTCATTGCAGAGGCCTCTAGTGATAATATTTGACGCCCTAGAGCAGCTCTCTGAGAGCGACGAGGCCAGGAAGCTTTGGTGGCTCCCTGCTCACCTGCCCCGCTTCGTACGGATAGTCCTCTCCACACTGCCCAACAAACACGGGATCCTGCAGAAACTACGGTGCCTTATCCACGAAGAAAACAATTACATCGAGTTGATTCCCCGCGACAGGAAGATGTGCAGCCAGGTCCTCAAACACCAGCTGCTGCGAGTCAAAAGGAAGGTCACATCAGGCCAGCAGATTTACGTGAACAATGCGTTCTCCAAGTGCACGCTGCCCATGTTTGTGAACCTGACCTTCAGGGAGGTGAGACATTGGCGATCTCACAAAGACGTCGATGAATCCTCCCTCTGCGTCACCGTTCATGAAAGCATAGAGCAGCTATTCTGGTCCTTAGAGAAGAAGTGTGGTCAGAAACTGGTCTCCAGGGCTCTTGGTTACATCACCATGGCCAAAATGGGTCTGAGTGAAATGGAACTGGAGGATGTGTTGGCCCTAGACAACAGTGTTATGAATGAGATCACGGAGAACTCCCGGCCCAGCAACCCCCTGAGGGTACCTTATTTGTACATCGCGAGGCTCAAGGAGGGTCTCAGTGGATACTTAATAGAAAGACACGTGAAGAACATCACCCTCCTGGTCTGGGCCAACAGACACCTGCAGCTCATAGCCCAGAAGCTGTATCTGAAGGACGACAGTGACCTGCATGAAATGCACACCATCCTGGCAGACTATTTTCTGGGGGTCTGGTCAGGGGGCAGGAGGAAAGCTTTCTGCCTCGAAGACCCCTACTTGAATGGCTGCCTCGACTTGGAAAGCAGGAGCCTGCTTGAGGAAGAAAGGCACTTCATGGAACAGGCTTCTTTTGACAGACAGGCCCCAGACCAGCCTTGGGTTTTCCAGTGTAACCCACTGGAGCCTGACATCTTTTTCGTCAATCACCGGAAAATGTCCGAGCTCTTGCACCACCTGACCAGGTGCGGGAAAACCGACGACCTGCTTTATGGCATCATCATGAACTTCAGCTGGCTTTACACCATGATCAAAATTGGCCAGTTCGACAAAGTGCTCTCAGACATCGAGCTGGCTTACAACTACACGCAAGAGAAGGAGCTGAAGTTCCTGGCCAGCACCCTCCGCGGCATCAAGAACAAGATCGTCGCCTTCCCTGGTTCCCTGTCAGCAGAGCTGCAGCAGAGGCTGCTGCCTGTCGTAAGTTCCCTGCCCAAACTGAGACACCTTCTTCTAGAGTGCGACAAAGACGGGCCCAAATACTGCTCCATTGTGCCATTACACTCATCCATGGACGTGACGTACAGCCCAGAGCGTCTTCCCTTGTCGTCCAGTCACCTGCATGTCACTGAGATTCTGCCGACTTCTAACCCCAGCACTGTCCTCGCTGCTTTAGAAAATGGCTCTATCAGCACATGGGACGTGGAAACTCGTCAGTTACTCAGGCAAATCACAACAGCCCAGTCTGTCATCCTGGGCATGAAACTCACCAGCGACGAAAAGTATCTCGTGGTGGCGACCACCAATAACACCTTGCTGATTTATGACAACGTCAACTCCTGTCTCCTGTCCGAAGTGGAAATCAAAGGGACCAGGCACGGAAGTGGCTCGCCCTACATCAATGGATTTACCCTGTCTGTCAACCATGCCCTTGCATGGCTGGAAGCCAGCAAAGATGTCACCGTCATCGATCTGCTCTATGGCTGGCCCCTTTACCAGTTCCACTGCTGGTACGAAGTGACGTGCGTCCAGTGCTCTCTGGACGGGAGCTATGCTTTCTGTGGGCAGTACCTGAACACCACCACCATATTTCACTTAGGGAGTGGAGAAAAGGTGTGTACAGTGACATCTGAGTTTTCAGGTGGCTTTGTGCAGTTTCTTCTTATCTTGGACACGGCCCAAGAAATGGTCATGGTTGACAGTGAAGGAAGCCTTTCTGTCTGGAATACGGAGGACATTGCCAACCCCCAGCTGACGGATGACTTCAACTGCCGGAGAGAAGGCAGCGAGGTGGTCAGCATTGAACTTTCAGAGGACCAAAGTGCAATTCTGATCTGCAAAGCCCTCAGCATTGAGCTCTTAGATACCGGCATGTGGAAGGTGGCGGAAAAGTTCAGGGCTAAGCACAACGAACGCTTCATATCTGCCGTGCTGTCCAAAAATGGAGACTGCATCATTGCGACCATGGAAAATACCTCAGCCGTGTTTTTCTGGAGGCGGGACACGGGACAGTGTATGGCAAGCCTGCAGGAAATCTCAGGTACCATAGTTAAGCTGGTGAAGTCCAGTCACCACAATATGCTGCTCTCTTTATCAACCAGTGGCGTCCTGTCCGTGTGGGACATCGACATCATCACAGCCATGTCCAACATAGACAAGACTGGAAAACCCATCCAGAGCCTGGTGTTGCCTGCTAGAGGGGAAATCATTTACTCCCTGGATGGCTCTGACTGTGTTCACAAGTGGAACTTCAGCAGCGGGTTCATCGAAGCCGTGTTTAAGCATGAAGGAATCGTTGAACACTGCGTGTTGACATCCTCTGGAGACATCATGGTGACAGCGGATGACAAAAGCAGCCAGTACGTCTGGCACACCAACAGCGGTGACAACCTCTTCCGAATCAACGGGCAGAGAATCTCTCAGCTGCTCATCACACACAACGACCAGTTCGTGGTCTCTCTGTGCGAGGAAAACGCCTCCAGGGTGTGGAGACTGGCCACGGGCCACAGGGTCTGCAACATCCTGACCACGCTGCAGAACGCCTTCATAACCTCCGCGAACACCTTCGTGGTGGGGATGACCAAGAGCAAGGTGCTGGCGGTCAGCCTGTGGACGGGAAGCATCACCAAGAAGTTTTGCTGTGAGGATGGCACCTCCATTGTGAGTTTCAAGCTGATCCCCGACTGCCCCGACATCGTCGTGTTCATCACATCGGCCGAGACGGTGAACGTCTGGAGTCTGACGGACGAAGTGATCTGCCGCCGTGTGCAGCTCCCAAGCAACTTCCTGAAAAGCCTAGAGGATTTTGAAATTTCTCCCAATGGGAAGTTAGGCATTCTATCCCGGGGAGATGAAAATATCAACGTGCTAGATTTACACAATGGTAAACTGCGGGTGGTTCACGCCTCCGGGGTCATCTGGCGGCAGAGACTGTCTCGGGACGGTCGGTACCTGGTATACATTTGTTTCCGAAGCGGGGAGGAGGAGGAGGAGGAGGAGAACGGGGCCACGTCCAGTTTAATTGTCATGAGACTGGCCGACGGCAAAAACATCGGTGCTTGTTCCCTGTACAAAACACCCACTTTCCTCGCGCTCTCCCAGAGGCACCTGAACATCGTCGTGGGCTTTGACGATGGGAGCATAGGGATATACACGGTGGTGGACCGCGTGGATGCCGCGCTGAAGATTAAAATCGCCACTTCCAACAGCAGACAGATATTCAACAACGCGGCACAGACGTCCAGGCCAAAGTGCAGCAGTCACTGTTTCAAAGTGTCTGTGGACTGCTTGTGGAGAGAGTCGACGGAGGTCTTCGCACGAGACAGTCCCATCACAGTGAGTGACTCCGCGGAGTCGAACGAGGCGACGCCCTCCAAGAAACACAACTCTTGCTATGAGCGGATGTGCTCTGTCCTGGAGCCCAGGGGCCACAGCTATGGCCCTGACAACTGACGGGAGTGTTCATCCTGATCAGCGGAAATGCGAGACACACACACACACACAAGAGTGGGGTGGGGGCATGTCTTCTGTGTTCCGAATGATAAACTCCTCGTTTCTGAAAATGCAAGAAAGAGGATGGAGCTCCAGCATTAGTCATTAACATGTCCATGAAGTGTATGGAAATGTGAAATTGGTTTTGGGTTTGTTTGTTTTTTTTTGTCAAAGTCTTTCCAGGAATGAAGTCTTGAGACTTTTCTAGAGAATTTGTAGAAACCATATTTAAATGGCTACATCAATCAGGGGACAGGGGGGTTAGAAGTTTTAAAATTGTGGGGGAAGAAGCAGCATAACACATCCCACTGGTTCAGACGAGAGAGGCTAGAGACCATTTGGACCGGAACTGATTTTATAGAAATCGGTGGAAATCGTGAACACAAAGAGCTGTTTGACTTCAAGTGGTGGTGTGGCCATAAGTAAACCCAGCCTTAATCTCCTTACATTTTACAGTCCTGACAACTGTGTAAATCCAGTCTGCTGACGGGAGGGCAAATGGTGCAAAATCATGTAACAAAAATGCCCAGACATACTCCCTGTCTCCCAAGGGAACAGGCATGAACTGCGTGGCCACGAGCTGGACTGGGACAGGAACTACCCACCCCGTCACAGGGCTACTGAGCATGCAGAGAAAATACAGTCGTGGCGATTGCATGCCGGGGTTTCCGTATAACGGAACACACGGTTTAAAAAAATACTATTCCCTGGGCTACAAAAGAACACATTGAATAAGAAACCACAATCTTTTCGTGTCTTTTCTCAATGCCTGTTTGTGCCGGGCATACGGAAGACTTACAGGAAGGGCATTACAGGTTTGATCCGAACACCTGCTCACTTTTGTCATTGTGCTAACAAAAGTCTGTGCTGTTCAGTCCGCTGTACAGAGGCGTAAATGGTTTCCTAAATCCCTGCAGTAAATCCCAGTGGAAGGACAGCTTTCTCGACATGCCATCTACGGAACGCTGACGACACCTGCCTTACTCTCATGCCTCTCTTCCCCTGGGTGAAACGCAGACAGATGACCAAATGCTCTGAGACACACTGAAGATGCCTGCGTTGTGCTAAAACATGCCGTCCGTGTTTGGGGCCTCCCAGGGTCCTTTACCGTCCCTGTTTGTAAGCACTTTCTTACTTCTGTACGCTGGATGTATGCTTCTTTTTCTGTCACCCTTTCCGCTTGAGGACTCTTTGGAGACTTTTCTAGTCTTCTCTGTTTCAAAGCAGAAGCTGTGAAATGTATTAAATTGTTTTTTTTTAAAAAAACTACTTCACCTATTTAAAAGAAAATATTACATCCCGAAAGGGGCACGTGATTTTCTTCACATGGTATGTCCTTGTATAACTTTCCAAAGGATGTCGGTAGTTGTGGTTTGGTGTGGTTTTATTTGAAAGTGGCTGTTGTGACTTACGTAGGCAGAACAATGAACAAGGAACTGACTCGCTTTCGGTCCGGCTCTGCCATGAACTCATCACATATCCGTAGACAGATCTTTAACCTCCCTGCTGTACTGTTCTTGTAAAGTGCAAGATAAAGATCATGGTAGTATCTGCTGTAGTCCTCACAGGGATGATGGGGAGCAAAGGAAGAAAAAGATACAGTGACTCATTGTTGAAGCTAATGGGAGGAACAAAAGGATCGAACCTATAGGGTATCCAAGTCCGCTGTATTTCACTTTGGAAAGGGATGTGATTTGGATGGGAACACCCCACTCCATGGTGACTTTCGGGGAGGGGGGGGTTAGTGTGTTCCTCCTGGTCTGGCTACTAGCCAGGTAGGTGGGAGTCCAGAGAAGGACCAGCCCACATGCAGATGAGCCGGAGTTTATTGTGTGAGTCAATGCTTTTCTTAGCGCTTCACAGGCCACACATCTTATTCCTGTCATTACCAGTGGGACCTCCACGCCACACGATTCTGAGAAGTAAATGCCTAGATGGAGTACATGTAGTGTGTGAACGTTCCGTGTAACAGCCAGTAGAGTTTAACAAGTGACTTGATTTTTCCTAACTTGTTTGCAACTGATAGCTCACATTGAATGTTTTTATGTAAACTTTGTATTGTTGGGAAGAATTACCCAATCAGAGATTTATATTTTCATAAATGTTACATTTAGTTAAATTTTGTTACAGAGTTGTTACACTAGAAAATTATTGCGGTCTTCGAACAATATACAGTCTCGTGTGTGTATTGTTTCTATGAATAAAAGATAAACTGTATAGATCTGTGTGGTGGTGGTTTTTTCTGCCAGCTTCCGCAGATGTCGTTAGCTTGCTCGTAGCAGTCATTGTTCGTGCTTGCTGTGCAATCGTCAGTATTTTCGGAGTTCCGCGTGTACAAAGCCATGTAATCCTCACAACAGCTTGACGAGTTAAGTACTGGTAGTATTCCAAGTTTACAGATGAAGAAACCTAGACATAGAGGTCCAGGGAGAAGAGCTGAACAGGACTTCAACACACAATCAGTGTCATTTTTGTCAACTTTCTCGAAGCATATAAAAATACAGCATTGAGTATCCAGGGGGCACTTTCTGATAATGACCTGTATTTTCTAACTGTCAGATCAAAGACCCTGCTGGGCTCTGACAGTCATGGGGCTGTCTTCGCAGTCTCTCAGGATTTTCAGGTGTACTGCAACGGTTGATATACTATTCATTTAGCAAATATTTATTTGGGCATTTATTTTGCCAAAAATGCCTTCTAGGATTTCATACTCTTAACAAGAAAACAGACAGGAAACAAGTCCTCTGCATAAGTTCAAGGACAGTGTGCTTGCGGCAGGGGTTGGAAGTGGGAAGGATGATAACCAAGGGGTCATGCCTCTCATGAATTCCCTACAGGTGAGAGACTAGGCGAGCCTTTCCCATGTATACTTGTTCTTCTTATCACCTCTCAGATGTTAGAATCACACACACACACACACACACTGTTTTTAAAAAAACAAGGCAGCAATGGAGGGCTTAAATGATGATAACTAGGAAATTACCAGGTGAAACCTTGTATCTAGTTTCATGAAACAACTATTCTCAGAGAAACTTAAGATGTTGCATTATCCGTCAGGCTTATTGCCTCCGTCTTCGCGTGGCTGAGGCTGACCGCTGTTTAACATCGACCCCTCCTGAAAAGGGCTCCCCTACCCACACCAGGGAATTCCTTCTTGGATACTAATCTAAATCCTTTACATGGAAGTTTAGACCCTCTTCTCTTTTTCAGTTCTCAGAGAAAATATAGGAGTTGACCGTTAATATCTGCATTAAAGCACTTCCCAGACATGGAATTGGTTGTTTAACTCGACGTCTTCTGTCCTAGGGTCAAAGACAGAGCAAAGACTGCGTGCTTGCCACGTACAAAGCACTACACTATGCCCTAGGGCGATTTGAAAACTAGCCACACACAACTCCTGCCCTCCAGAATCTGACAGTCTAAAGAAAACACAACTAAATCAGATGTGAGACAGATGGTGATACAAAGTTGTTAATAAGAGTGAAAGCCAAGTGCAGAGTATGCACCACAGAGGAGCAATGAACTGTGGGAATTGGAAAGAGTGGCCCAGAGGAGGTGACAAAGAGCTGAGGCCTGAAAGAGACGTGGGACAGCCATCAGCAGGTCCGAAAGACATCTCAGGTGGCGGAACCGGTGGGAGCAAAAACAGAGTCGGAGTATGTTCTGGATGAGTTCGAATGCTGTGTCGGGATTTTAGACTTTATTTGGTAGTGAACGGGCAATCATGAAAAATGTTTTGAGGAGGACAATGGCCTGGTTGGAACGGCGTTTTTGGATGACTCAGGCAGTGCTGTGTCAGGTGGATCAGAGATGGGCGAGAGCTGTAAAGAGACTATTGCAATGACCTGAGCGAGGAAGGAGAAGAATTGGATCTTAGGACAGCAGCAGGGAGAATGCTACGGGAAGGGACAGTGCAAGAGCTATTTTAGGGTTTAACTGGCAGAAGTGAGTGATGGAGAGAGAAAACAAATTCCAGTTTCAGTTGAAACTGGGTGGATAGCAGAGTGGCAAATATAAAAATGAACAGTTTAGGAGATGGAAGTTGAAGAAATAATAAAATAAAGTTGGACCTAGGGAGTCAAAGGTTAAGCCATCTATGTAGGCAATTGGAAATACACTGTTCATACACTGAAGAAATCAATGAGCTAAAGGCAGAGAAGCCACCCTGTCCGGGGGTTCAGCCCATGGTCTGGGTGCCTATGATCCCCAGTACAGACAGGCACATAGGAGAGGCGACCAGGCGATCTTTCTCTCTCATATTGGTGTTTCTCTTTCTCCCTCCCTCTCTCTCTAAAAGCAATGGAAAAAAAATGTCCTTGGGTGAGGAAAATAAATAAATAATTATAAAAAAATCAATTGAACCATTTATCTCTTTCTTAAAAATCTAAAATGCCGCCTCATGTGGTGCTTTTTTTGTTACAATGTAAGCCAACAGTATGCATTTAAAGTTTTTGTCTGTTTTTTAGAACTATATTGACAAATTTAAAACTATATTAACAGATCTACTCACATGAGCTTTCCTTCTTCCACGACTCATCATCATTTGGAAACAATCAATATGCCAACAAACACACACACACTAAAAACTAAGTGAATTACGCTGGTTTCACTTCCACATGCCTCAAGAAACCACAGGTTTTTCTTCCGTGTTTTGCACAAGGACCCCTCGATCTCCATTCGGCACTCCGTGTGATCTGCAGGAAGTCCAGGTCCCATTCTGCGTAGACTCATCAGAGGGTTCAGTTTCAGTGTATCAGCATCACATTATGTAACCCTGGTAATGTGAAGTTACCGAAACACCATCATCTCTGCCCTCATAGAATCCCAGCCTTTACTACGTGAAGGTAACTTAACCAGCCGCTCGACCATACTAAGAGCAGTGATTCAAAAACTGAACTGTGCATTGCCTTCCCTATCCCCCGCTATTTTGGAATCAGTGTGTCTGGGGTGAGGCCCAAGAATTTGTGTTTTTACTAAATTCCCCAAGATGGTGCTCATTCTGCTGGTCCGGGAACCACAATTTAAAACGTAAGATAAATACCAAAGTCTTTATGGTTGGAATAACCTAACTCATAAACATGCCAATATCCTGTGGACATTTCTAAAACATCGACTAGAAGTTAGACATGAGATCCTTTATTGTAGCCCAGGATTTTACCAGAAAATAATGTAAAAGAGAGTATAACTTCATAAATCTATCACTTTAAAGCCTGTAGTTACTACGCGACTGGGAAGATTCAGAAAGTGAGTTTTATTCCATAAAGGAAAATGTCATGTAAATGGCGCGGGAGTCACTTAAGTGGACACATTAAAAACTAAGGGCAGTATGTCCATCTTTAAATGGTATTCTGCGCGGTTTCTTCTCCAGCATCCTGTTTACCCCCGGATGAGCTGGACGCGGGGAGAGAAGAAGGTAAGCTAGGTGGCGCCGTTGCTTCATACGTTTTCCGTCTCACCGAACGTTTACTCGGGAGCGCAGGTGAAGACTGTCCCATACCTAAGCAGTACTTTGGGTGCGTAGATTACGTGTACTAGCGTGGAGCTCAGTAGGTTGGACGACGAGTTGCAGCTGAGGCTCCCACCCCAGGAAAAGAGTGGAGAGGTGGGACAGAGACGCATTTCACTGAACTCGCACTGTGGTCTAGAGGGTGCAGGCGTGCGTGCGCAGCCTCCCCGGGAATCATGGCAGCGTCTTCGGGGCTTCTCAGACCATCTGTGTCACAAAGGCGTGCGACAGTGCACCCACGGGGTCTAAGCGGCTAGTGCCATAACTGCGGAGGAAACAGAAACACTCGGGGGTGAGGGGTACAAATCTACTTGCAAGGGGTGCATTTATTTATTTCCCCGCTAGCGTCCAGAATCATGGGACAGCAGACAGGAAAAGTTTCCCAACACGGGGAAAAGTCCGGCCTGGGTGTGAATGCCAGAGGCCGAGCTCTTGGGGTGTTTTGTTGTTGTTGTTTGTTTGCTTGCTTGTTGCTCCAGTGCGTCTGGAAGGCCAGCCCCTGCTGCCGGGGGTCGGAAGTCGGGTTCCAGGGGCTCGGGCGCGGGCCCGGGGTGCAGCCAGGGGACCTCCAGGACAACCCCGCGCGGTGCGCGGGGCGCGCAGGTAAAGGGTTACACGTGCTGGGGAGGCTCGCCTAGGGCCGGGCCACGTGATGCGCCGGCCCAATGACCGCACCGGAGCGGCAGCTGCGAGCGCCGCGGGCTCTGGGCAGCGCGGAGCCGCTAGTGTTTCCCGGCGCGGCCGCCCGAGGCCCGCCGAGCATGGGCGCCGCGACCCCGACTCCGCCGCCACCGCCGCCGCCTCCACCGGGCCCCAGGTAGGACCGTCTCCCGGCCTGCGCGTGGGTCCCGCCGCGGGGAGGGCAAAGTCTTGACCGCTGCGAAACTCGGCTTGGTGGCATTATTTCCCCGACTTCTTTCGCGAGTTATTTTTATTTCTTTCTTTCTTTTTGCCGTGGGGTGAGGCAAAAAAGTGGGATGAGGCGATGGTCAACTTGATTACTCCGCACAAGTCATACCATTCATACCAGTCACGAAAAGAGGCAAAATCCAGGATACGGGACGGGAGGGGGGCGGCTTTTGCAAATTCCCCAAAGATCTAAACAGTTTGTAAAGCTTGGTATCTAATTGGCATATGAAACACTTTGTTTTTAAATCCTTAATTAATGAACTTACAACAATGCCCGAGAACTTGAATTGGAAAAAGTGTAAGAGATTTTCCCTTATTTCTAAGTCCCCCCTCCCACATTTAAAACGGAAATAGAATGTGACCGCGGTTTCTTTGAAACGTCCTTGGGTCCCAGGGTTTGTCCCCTTAGGGTGGTGGCGCCTGGGTGGCAGCGGGCAAGTGTGGAGGGGACAGGGTGTAGTGCCGGGTGGGAGCAGGTGTTGAAAGAGGGTGGTAGGTGCAAAGGGTTAAATGGTCACAAACTGTTTGCTGAATATTTAATAATGAGGCAAGTTCCTCCTGGTGGGTTACTTGAGTCTCCTTGACCTTGGCTGCCCTGATGAGGTGAGAGTTTCACAAACTACCCCTGAAGAATTTTTCCAGTGATGTAAGACAGAAATCAGTGTTTTGGTTTCTTTTCTCCAGTACTGTAATTAAATTTAAAAACAATAAAGACTACCTTTGGTAACTTAGCACATTGTATTTTGCATTGCAGTATAGATGTTTGCCCAGTGAATGGAGAAGAGATCAGTGGTGCTCCATGTGGGGGTTCAAAATCATTAAGGACGGGTATTTTCTACCCGTCACTACGAAGAGGGAGTTACTGGTGACGCGTCTCACCGGGACTTGCGGATGTCCTGGGTGGTTGTAACCGGGCCATTGAAAGGAGCAGCAGCTGGGGAAAGACGAGCAACAGTGGACAGTTGAGTGAGAAAGAAATGGACATCGGTGGCTGCTTTTAAAGACAATGGGATGTATACTTGCCACTTATTCCCCCATTTAACCCTTCAGCTATCACTGTTTTGAGGAGGAGACAGAGGTTAAACCCTTTCAAGGCTAAACAGCAGCAGTGCCCGTAGAACACCGTAGCGGTCACCAGGCAGCTCAGGGACATGGTGACGTGAGGCGCTGGACGTGGGGTTCCGGGGCTCCTTGCGTTGATCTAAAGTGCGAAGAGTCTGTTATAGGGAGCTGCCTTGACCTCAGAGGAGGAATGGAATAGGCACTGATAAAGGGAGGCAGGGTTCACCTTACTTATTTAGTTGTTTAGTTACTTTTGTCAGTCCATTCTGATCCTGCCCTTCCTCAGCAGCTCTGAGGTAAGCGCCTGTCTCGTGGCGCCTGCCCCAGGCCCTGGTCCTCCCCAGTGGCTGAAGATTTAGGTGGGTAATGACATGGAAACATAAATGTGAGCAATCTTGGCTATGTGCTAGGAGTTTTGGCATATCTAGAAATGAAAACAAAAACGTGTATACCAATGTAATATGTTCATGAGCCTAAAAAATGCAAGGATTCCCCTGACTTCTTACCTGGTGCCCCTGTGAGCCCAGAATCACCGCCTGGCTCAGCTCTGGCCAGAATCCAGTCCCAGCCCATGGGCAGAGCAGGCACTGCCCTCTGGCTCTGGGAACTGCCCTGCCCTGGGTGCCCAAGAGCCCATTGACTGTGCTTCTTGGAATGGACTCCAGCTTCCGAATAACTGAAGACTAGCCTCCCTGTCACTGGCTTTCCTCCACCGGGAATGTTTCAAACTCCCCAAGTTTAACAATTTTTCCAATCACCCTGAATCTTGGACTCTTTGGGGGATTCTTGGTTAAATAGTACCTGTCACGCCTTATTTTCCTTCCCTGTTTGGTCTTTAGATGGATTATCTGGTTGCAGATAAAACTTCTAGATATTGGGAAAAGAGGCGTTGATAAGGGAGGGCAGACTCAGCCTTCAGCCCTCCGCAGGTGGGTGAGTCACCCAGCCGCAGCTTTCTTTTCTGTCTGCTTACCAGGTGGATGCTGTTGAGAAAAATGAAACGAAATCTTTTATCTCTTTGTACCCTGAGCATGTCCCACGGAGTTTGGAATCCTCAGAAGGAATGTGTGTCATCAAAACAACCCTATCGTAAAACATGCCTGTAACACACCCATCAGAGGAACATGTGCCCCGAAGCAGATACTTCAAAGAGCTTGAAATACTGACTCAGAGTCATCGAGCATCTTAGAAAAGACACTCTCGAGTTGCATAAGACAAAAAGAATATCGTGTCGCAAATTTCAGCCCTAGCACGGAAGGTTCAGAGGACAGGTGGCTCTCTAGAATTAAATGGAGCCCCGATCTGGCCCTGGAGACCGCTCGTGCGTGGACCCAGAGACTGCAGCCCCACGGTGAGGTGCTGGGGAGGGACACAGTCCCCACCTTCATCTGGCGGACAGTCTTCAGAGAAGCCCCGGGGACTTGGAGCAGAGCAGACTTGTATTTTAGAAAGTCCCAGGCTGCGGTGAGAAGGATTAAGGGGGGCAGATACCAGCAAAGCTGCTCCTGTAAAAACCCACATGAGAGGAGAGAGAGAAGTGAATTGATTCAAAAAAATAATTAGGAAAGGTATTGAGGATAGGAACTCAGAGAAAATGTTAGGTGGCTCAAGTCTCTGAAGTCACGATAATTTACATATCATTTCTGAATACGTTTGTTCCCAGTAGATAACCATAAACCACGTTTTATTGCAGTGCTCTGCTTACTGACTGAAATCTCTGTGGGGCCCCACATACTGTGTTTCCATCACAGAAAAAAGTTTTGGGGGCAAAAATGAGCCAAATATATTTCACATTTTGAACAACCTAGTGCTTCTTTATATAGACTTAAATGTATACACCTGAAGGCAAAGTTAAGATAATGTGTCACCCCCGTATTTTATACTTGTTCTCTGATTTAGCTTCTCGTAATAAAAATACCCGAGTTTTGATTGTGTAACAGTAGGGAAAGTGGGCAGTAGAACAGCCTCTTCTTTTCAGTTGGTCACAACATGGCCTGCTGTCTGTCATGGAGAAGACTGTGTTGTTATTATTACTGCGGGAGCATAGTGCCACAGTGGTGACTCCCAGTGGTGACACAAGTGGTGTGAGAAAGTCACTGAATGCCTATCAGAGAAGAAAGGTCTCCTTGGTTATTGACTCATGGCCGTATGTATAGCTTTTTAATATAACAGGTATTTGGACATATTTGTAATTCACTTGTTCGTTCGTCCCAGAGTTGAATCTCTACACACACGGGTTTTGAAAGGTCCTTTAATTTTGGTGTTAAATCTCCCACCCATTTGGTGACTGAGGACCTGTCTTGGGTTACTGATGTGTGGTAGAGGCAGATTTGATGCGTACTGGATGGTCGCAGAACAGTATCCTTCTTACTTGGTGAGCAGACTACACACCCTCAGTGCTCCAGAGCATTTACTGCAGCCTGGACGGGAGTGAAAGAAGCCTGCCTGCCCTGCACACGGTGCAGAGCTGCATACTTAGATCCTCACCAGGACTTCCGTGGCCTTGCATATTCATCTCTTGATCCCCAGTGAGCTTGGCTGTCTGAGTTCCTGGTCCTCGGCAAGGAAGCCCACCTTGCAGGTTCAGTGTACGGCTAGTATGATGCAGTGTGAAATGCAGCCATAACCAGCTGCCGAATGGAGAGGGCAATGCAGGGACCTAAGTCCGCAAGAAAAGAAAACTGGGTTCAGGACTATGTGTGAGCAAGGAAACGAGTATTGCATTTTGGGAAAATGCACCTTCAAACGTTTTTAGAGCTAGAAAAAGAAAAATGAGGCTCAAAAAGCTTAAACGATATGTCCATGGTATTGAAGCTGCCCATTGGAAAATCCACTGGAACCAGGACCTCAGAAATCCCAATGCCCAGTTCAGTTATCTTCCTACACTATCCAAAAAGTACAAATTTCAGTGGTATGGAAAATTCTTTTTCTGTTAAGTGCCTTTTTCTTAAAATAGTATAGGCATGGTTTATGGAGAAATAGTTTACATATAGACTATCATTTACCTAACAAACTACTCTAAACCCTAAGAGCTTAAAGCAACCACCATTTATTTAGTTTATGACTCTGTGGATCAGCAGTTTGGGGCTGGTCTTTCCCAGGCTTCCTTGTGTCCCCAAGGTCACCAGGGTGGCTCTGCCTCTGCGTATTGGCTGACTGCAGGCTGAGTTAGCTGGGCAGAGGGGCCTCCTGCCCCCCAACATTGGGGAGCCCTAGTGTAGGTGTAAGAGCGGCCGTGGAAGCAGGGAGCACTGGGGCCTAGGCTGACACGGACACAAGTTGCTTCTCTACCGATCTATTTCAAGAGCAAGTGGAAAGAATTGTGAAGATTCAGAAGGGGTGGAGAGTTGTGGCCATTTTTGCAATCTACCACCCCTTGCCAGAGCACTTTACCTAACTTACCTAACTTAAGTCTCACCTCAACTCCAGAAGTGCAGGCAGAATTCCTGTGTTACAGGTGAAGAAACTGAAACCCAAGCACGGCAGTCGGACGGAGGGGATGCAGCGGGTGAGGGGCGGAACCCACGGGGTGCGCACCTGGGAACTGGTCGCAGGTGCAGTCTTGACTCCACCTCAGATCCGTTGGATCAGAACCGGCATTTGAGCAGGATCCCAGGTTACTCCTAAGCACAGTGGAGTCTGAGGAGCAGGCACTGTAGGGAGCAGGGGGATGGGAGTAAGAGGGGCCAGTGGAAGAACACTGCAGGCAGGGAGAACAGCCAGAGCACAGGCCCTGAGGCTGGACTCTGCAGTCTGCAGTCAGGGGAAGGAATTCCCAGACCAGACAGAGCCTCTGCAAGGGCAAGTTCGTTCCTGGTGTAGAAGGAAGTCTGCTTTTTCCTAGAA